AAAAAAAAAAAAAAAAAAAAAAAAAAAAAAAAAAAAAAAAAAAAAAAACACGCTTGATTCAAGTTGATTGTGCATACAAGGAAAAAAACAGAAATACAACGACATGCAGGAGCAGCGCCACCCCACCAGTGTGTCGTCCGCATGCCTCGCCTCGGGTGGAACAGCGACATCAAACATGTCCAACTCTTCCATCTTCGCACGGTGAAAATCCGCTCTTTCCATTGCTAGCTCACTCTCTGCCTTCTGCGTGGCAGCTTGGAGATGATCCTTGGTCTTCATCCACTCTGCATTTTTCTCTTCCCAATTCACAAGCGAATTAGTCTGCTTGCCAGCAGCAATCCTCAGCCAGATGAAGCGCTCGAGTTCCTTTGAGAGCTTAACATTGTTTCTTTCCGTACGAATCCTCTCGACCTGCAGTCATACAGATACGGTGAACCCAACCCAATCGGTGAGAGACAGGGTCAAGCTCTCAAGGACAGCTGTGCTCAATTCAATACGTCAGCAGCCATTCAACACCATACTTGTCACCAAAGAAAATACTTCAAAATAGTAAAAAATACTGCCCCTCACCCCCCACCCCCTCACCGCCCGCCCCCCAGCCCCCCCCCAAAAAAAAAGAAAAAAGAAAAAAGAAAAAAGAAAAAAGAAAAAAGAAAAAAGAAAAAAGTTAAAAAAAGTTTAAAAAACTCAAAATAATGTCAGCGCACATGTAGGCACTAAAGGGTGTACTGTGTGGTTCAAGGTGCACTAAACGTTGGCTGAAAATAGTTAAATATTTACTATTTACTATTTACTATTTACTATTTAGCTAGGCTACCAGAGTGGCCCGGGACCACTTGCCCGGCCGGGCCGACAGCAGTATGAGAACAACGAGCGACAATCATTCCATGCAGAAACTGCAAAAGACGACAAGGGAGAAGGGAGGATGGACAACCAGCCGAAATGGCGAAAAAAAGTGGCGCAAAAGCACACCATTTGTGAAGGCTCTGGTGGCGATTATAAACCCGACAAGTGTTGCAACTGGCTCGCCACGAACCGGCCATCTTTCAGGGGTTAGCACACGGCGAGACACAGAATAGAGACAACTGTAGCATTATTAATTTATTATATACCTACGTCCATCCTAACAGACACTAGCTAAGTTCCCCAAGTACCCAACCGAAACGGAGAGAACCCAGGGTACCAAGACCAAATTAGAGGATTCCAGACCGGCCCGGAGAAAGAAGATTAGCATGGCCCCTGCTGCGCAAGGATGACATAAATAAATCGAGAAGTGGTCCAAACTCCCAAAAAAAAAAAAAAAAAAGACGAAGAAGAAGAAGAAGTACTTTGGGAATACGCATCCCAGCAAACGGTTGGCTGAAAATAATGTTGGACGGTTGGCCTATACTACTCTATAGGGTCTGCCATCAGGTGCGAGGCTGCCGTGCCGGTGGCAGGTTAGTTATAGTTATGCACACATAGGGTAGGGACAGTGGGCTTGTCGGAGCGCTACTCTGCGAAGGCATAGTCACAGAGGACGGTGAGCGTCCTTGTAAGGGGGGGAGGGGGGAGCGCAGAATGCAGACGTGGGGCATCCTTAATCGCCGGGTAGTGGGTTGGGCTATAGGCCGTGCCGTAACGTGGGAACCTGTCGTGCGGGTGGAAGGGTGGTTTGAAATGGTTTCACAATCTTGTGGTGTGGTGTGGATGTCTTAGGCGCTAAATGGGTCGCCCGATTGTCCCTTTCGCCAGCCCCATCATTATGCCAGGTGTTCTTGGTTGTTGTTCTAGCATCAGCTCGGGTTGTTTCTCTCTTTCTCTCTCAAAAAAANAAAAAAAAAAAAAAAAAAAAAAAAAAAAAAAAAAGGGGACGATAAGAGAGTTGGTTCTGTTGCACGAGTGATTACGGTTTCACCGTAAATTTTCCCGACCTGGTTTTCAATGTTTTATACGACCCTGGTTCGCACTTGGCCGGTGTCCCTTGATCATTCCAAACGGGTGGTCCCCACTTGTTGTAAGGGTCAGCGGGGCCTCTTTCCCACATTGCGCATAATTCAGCCTTGCTCGCAGGACCCGTTTGTCCCAAAATAATGTTCCGGTGTCTTTTTTTTTTTCTGTTCTGTTCTGTTCTTTTCCCCGTGTGTTTTACATGACGATTTTCTTTTTCCACTTCAGAATGTTCAACTTTTTATTTTTGCCCTTTCGCCGTTTTTTGCTGTGAACCAGAACACGCCCCCCCCTACCCATCCATTTGCAATTCTCCAGCAATACTACCCCCCCCAGTCAAAGGGAGGCTGTGGAATTTATTCCGACAGCCGTCGAGTTTTTTTGCCGTTCGACAGTGGTGTGGCGAGGCCCTACGCAACATAAGCTCTTTTTTTTCTTTTTTCTTTTTCTTTTTGTGTGCAGCTGTTTGATTGATGGGCAGGTGGTTTGTTTGGCTGGCTGTCTGAGCGGAACGTCTGGATCAGGGCTCGGACAGGTCACAGCTCCTGCTGCACGTCCGCCTCAGCTATGTGTAGGACAGAACCCATACCCTGCTGAAGTAAGTCATGCGGAGTGCTCACAGACATACCAAGTCATCAGTCCTCATCAACTTCTGAATCATGTTTATGTCAATGTCAACAATCCACCGCCCAGCCAAGTCAGACTTCAGCCCGTGCAGCTCCCTCTCCACCTCCACTGCTACACGCGTGCTCCCTCCCTCCATACCAACACCCCACCCCCACCCGCACCCCCACCCCCACCCCCCCACACTCGCACCCTCCCTCCATCCATAACATTGATGGGCATCTCTGAGGGCTCCTGTTCAACCTGCTATCGTCTTTCCCGAACAAAACACGTGATCATTATGGCTGTATTTGGGGCGGATTTCAGTCTAGATACGGGGGCGATAATGACCGTACATTCTATTTGGGTGATGACAATAGGAATGGCCTGGCCTACGTGTAGTTGTGGGGGGTCTAGGTCTGAGTGAATAAGAGAGGGAAACGGAGGCCAATGCCTGACCGAGGCTGCTCGGAATAGAAAAAGCCCCCCCTTAATATAGAAGGGGGGCTTGGCAGTGCAGACACTTGTGACAGCAAGAGGACAGTGGCAGCATGCAGCATACCCCCTAACCCGATCACTCCTTGGAAGGACTGCTGATTTCATTTCAGAGAGGCAAAGAGGCAAACATTCAGGACTGCACAGCACATTCAACCAAAGGTGACCAAGTTCAATCAACTTTTGTAAACGAAGGAGTCCAGGTGCAGAGTACTTCTTCTGGAGAGGAAAAGACGAAAGATAGAAAAGCATAGGTAGGATGTGGTCTCTTGCTGTTCCGTAGTCAGCTTGGTAGGGTTTGTGGGTGAGATGTAGATACGGGTAGATAGAGAGAGGTAAAAAGAGAGAAGAAAATAGGGTAGGCAAGAAAATATAACTGTCCCCTCTATGAGGAGAAGACAGCTGTATTTTCCTTTTTTTTCTTCTTTTTTTTCTTTTTTTTAAAAGGAGGATGGACAAAAAAAGAAAAGATGGCCAGAGTAATCTGAAGAACAGAATAGCTGGTCTCAAGAAGAGGGGAACACTCGTAAAGAAGGGCAGCTGAGAAGAAGAGCCAAGAAGAAGAGAGAGAGAGCCTTGGTACCAGATCTGGTCCTGAGGCACCAAGGCTGGTCCCAAGGTACCAGTTTTGTGGTCATAAGGCACCAGAGTTGGTCCCAACCTACCAAGGCTACCGCCTTCCCCCGAACAAAACGCACCCTCATTTTGACTGCATCGGACCGGAAAAACGGCTTGTATACGTTCATTTTCAGGGTGCGTTATGTTCGGGGGAAGACGGTAGTCCCAAGGTACAAGGTATGGTCAAAGGTACCACAAATGGTCCCAAGGTATGAAGGATGGTCCCAAAGCTGGTACAAATATACCACATGTGATCCCAAGGCACTAAGGATGGTCCGCAAGGTACATGGTCTGGCCCCAAAGCCCTAGGTTTGGCCAACAAATCATGCTTTGAGTGTCTTACATGGTTTACCCCATTAACCAGTGGTGGTGCACGGTATGGTCCCAAGGATCACTGAGATTTTTTCTTTTTTTTTTCTTTTTTCACTGAGATTTTTTTTTTAAGTGTGTGGAACACCTAGTTTACCTCTGCAGCCAGACCTTGGCAATGCCTCTTTCGTTCCTGATAGGCTTCTTTGATAAGGTGGGCACTTTCAGGGACCGTTCGGACCATTTCCGCAACCTCATCTGGGTAATCTCCTTCCAGTATATCCTCCCCAACTCCTGTTCTTGCCTGTGACATTGTCAGCTCCTCAGGCTTCTGAGCAGTGCTAGGCATTGTGGTTTCTCCTTTCGCTCTTCTCGCTTGTCCTCCCTCTTCCACCTCCTCCTCCTCCTCCTCCACCTCCACCTCCTCCTTCGCCGCCTCCCCCTCCTTTGCCTTCTCGCGACTCGCAATGCCACCCATTTGTTTGAGCATCTCTTCGTACTCCGCGACATCGCCCAAGATCGTGTGCTCGATCCACCGACCCTTCGCATCCTGCGTCGGGCGTGTTGGGACCTCCAGTATCCTCTGCGATGGTGTCAGGATCGCAGATTTCAAAGATGACCGCGTTTCAGAAACCGAGCCGGAGTTGCTTGACAACAACCTCTCCGAGGCTCCGGGGCTTCTGCATAAGTTGGATATATCAGGCCGCAATGGAATTCGTACGTAAATTGCTTTGCTTTCCATTTGTCGAAGTTATCGTATGGTTCAGGGTCTGGTTAAAAAAAAATTCCTTCGTGAAAAAATTGTAGTAGTAGGTAGTAACTTAGTAGCAGTAACTTAGTAACAGTAACTTCACAAATTGCTATCCATTTGTCGAAGTTCTCGTATGGTTCAGGATCTGGTTAAGAGAAAAATTCCTTCGTGAAAAAAATGTAGTAGTAGGTAGTAACTTAGTAACAGTAACTTAGTAACAGTAACTTAGTAACAGTAACTTAGTAAGAACTAGTAACAAGTAATGACAGGTGCAATGCCAGCCTATGGTGGCACCAGTGCCAGTCCCATAAACACAGAGAGAGAGTTCCGATCGGCACCAGTGCCAGTCCCAGAGAGAGAGAGAGAGAGAGAGAGAGAGAGAGATCCAATAGGCTGGAAACAACCTCTGAGAGGTGTGAGGAGTTCCTAAGGAGTTGACGATACCACAGTGCATGCAGCTCAGTTTTGCAAAATAAAGTTTTCAAATAATCAAATTGAAATTATAAAATACATAAATAAAAATTTAATGTTTAGTATGCTCTTGACAGAATTCAGAATTTTTTTCGACACCGGGCACCCGGGCACCCAACTTATGCCCGGGTACATGCCCAGGTGCCCGGCCAGGCATGACCCCGGGCAGGGTTCCGGGCAGCCAAAGTGTCAAAAAAAAAAAAAAAAAAAAAAAAAGGGAAAAAAACAAATGTTGTGTAGAATTGCAATACAAACGACTTTTGGCTGAGGGTCACATCAGAATTCCACACAGAATCGGAGATAAAAAAGAAAATAACAGAATCACACTAAGCCAACCCCCTTTAAAGTTTAAACCCCTTTAGCCCCTTTAAAACCAATTTACCCCTCTTCCCCCTCCTTGACAGCCAACTCTCTTTTTTTTGCATGGCCGGGTACCCCGGACGTCACGGCCGGGTGCCCGGCCGGGCAGGACCGGCTGGGCGTGACAATCTTCCGAGACGTTTCCCCCCCAAAAAAAGAAAGACATTCTGGAGTGGTAAACATAAAAAATTATAGATAAAATTAAATGCTAAATGCCGGGCGTGACAATCTTCCGAGATGCTTCCCCCCATGGTAAACATAAAAAAATATAGATAAAATAAAATGATAAATGATAAATAGTTAATATTAAATACTAGACTAATAATCGGCACAGGACAAGGAACTCAATGGTGGTCCTGTAATCGACAACATCTGGGGGCTTCAGATACAAAAAATTGGAGTTGACTCCTCTGGCTGCGTAGATTGTTTTTCCAACCTTTTGTAATCTTTTAGGATTTTAGTAAATAAGTTAAAATAACTCACAATAAGTAAAAATTAAGTTTGAAAATAACTCTGGCTGGTCCGAGAAGTCAAGCATTCAGCAAACAAGTAATGGGTCCAAAGGTGCAAGGGTGCAAGGGTGCAGGGGTGCAGGGGTGCAAGGGCAAAAGGGGGCAAGGGGGCAAGGGGGG